GGGAGCGGGCCTGCCAATGACCCTGAAACCCAACAATCACTGCCTTCCCCAGCTCACTGCATTAGAGCTGATCTGGCTGTCGTTGGGTTATTACCGGTCGTCTGCGTCAAAACATGTGCCAACGTTTGCTTCTTGTGGGGTCCCATGTCGTAACACCAACAAGGATAAACGTCACGGACAAAGAACCACCATGCCGAATGAACGACGGGAGGAAGTGTGTGGACAAAATGCCGGAAAAGGTACTGCTTGAGAAGGTGGCCGTTCCACTTCGCCAAACACCACCGTTTGACTGTCTTCCATCCCGTGCCGTTCGCACAATTGGAAGCCGTGCGAACCCCAGTAGCAGTGGCTCGTTACAGGACGTCTCGTAAGAGGCCGGTCCGCTGTCTCCCGCTGCATGGACAGAACACATTCCACTCCATGTCCTGCAAACTGCGCCCCACGAGCGCGCAATCTTCGCTAACCGTTAGACGCCAAATTTCGGATAGGGACAAGAAACACATGGAAAGGAGGGGACCAAGACACACCAGAGATACAGCACTCCACTCCTGGCCAGCGGCGAGATTGTTCAGCTTGGCAGCGCGTGTCAGCTCTGGTGATGCTCTACTGCCGCCGTCCTGCGCGTCTGCTGAGGAGATGGTGCTACAGCTGGGGCAGGCCAGCTCGTGGTCAGCCATCATGTGCGCAGTACACAGACGGCTGCAGACACAGACACAGGCCGGCCGCGGACACAGACACAGGCCGGCGGCAAACGCAAACACAGGCCGGCCGCAAACACAGTCACAGGCCGACCGCAGACACAGACACAGGCCGGCCGCAGACACAGACGCTGGCCGGCCGCAGACACAGTCACAGGCCGGCCGCAGACATAGTCACAGGCCGGCCGCAGACACAGTTACAGGCCGTCTGCAGACGCAGACACAAGCCGGCCGCAGACACAGACGCAGGCCGGCCGCAGACGGCTGGCCCGGTTGCGCCAGGCGTCACCATTAACGATAATGGAGCATCATTATGCTGAGGGGCATGCGATATCGCAGGAGAATTATGACCGTCATTATCGGAGAGAAATCACTTGAATGCGCTAAAAAGTCACTGCTTGAAAATAATCGTCCGTGTGTAATGGCTGCACTGGACCCTGGCTTCCCTAGGTCACACGAACGTTGGAAAAACCAGGAGCGGCTCGCTTGATATTCATTATAACTGTTGGCTCTCAACTCTCGTCCGCATGTTCGCCGGACGTTCTCCTGGCACCAATCTGTGACGGGCATTTACAAGACTGCGGCACCGAATTATAATGGCATGACTTCAAACTACAGGGCCGCTACGTCGGCACGACATCAGCCGCATAGTGAGAGCCGCGGTCCACCATTTCAAACGCTGCAACAAACGCACTAGTCTGACGGAAGCGCGGTCAGGCAACACGGAAGTAAGTCGCTCACACTATGTTGATAACTAATTTGGAGGAACCGGTACAAACTATCTGTACTGGAGATCTGGGATGACGATGGATCAACAGGAACTTATGGCGTTTTACGGGCAGACCTTCGCCCCTCACCTGAGTTAACCGTACATGTCGGAGGTGACAGTTCGGCCGGTCAGGTCGTTAGGAGCCGAGCGTCTGACCGTACGTGTCTCAAGTGGCGGTTCGGCCGGTAAGGCCAACAGAGGCCGTGCGTCGGGCCGTAGGTGTCGAAGGTGTCGGTTCGGCCGGTCAGGTCGACAGGAGCCGAGCGTCTGACCGTACGAGTCGGAAGTGCCGGTTCGGCCGGCCAGGTTGACAGCGGCCCCTGGTTTGAGTGCTTCGTCGGCCACCCTGGCCCGGCTTACGTTCGCGCTCACGTGACGCCGGCCGACGGCATTATCCGAATGTCAGTTCTTCTGGGCGCTGGCACACCGCCGAACGTCAGGCCCCGGGGTGGGGGGAGGGGGAGGTCTCGGGCGGCTATGCTCAGTCCGCGGCGGGCCGGGCACCGGCTGTGGCGCCGACAAGACGAAGAGGTCACAAGTGTCCCGGCAGGTCGCACGCCGTGCGGGGGCTAATCGCCGGTGGATGCAAATGCGTTTGTGAGTCATTTAACGCACGAGGCAATAGTCAGGGCGAGCGGTGAAAATGAAATTATGCACTTAGTTATTTTTCCGTCCGGTGGAATAGACCGGCATCGGAAGGTCATGGACAATGGCCAACGCGTTGCCAAGTGAAGAGGCACACAGCATTCTAAGTTGTGTTTTTCTTCGGGCTTTCAGTGGTTTATTGCACATGTCATCCATTGCAACACTCCTCTCATACCGCACGTCATCGAATGTCCCACGTCACACGCATGGTCATCCGTCATTCCGCACCATTCGGCATCCGAATGTTTGGCTGAATGTTCGAAACAAGTGGCCGCGACCAGCGGCGGAGGAGCCTTCGGAGAGTCGGCGGACAGGATGTGTGACACACACTGCATTCTCTACTGCCTTTTCTAAGCAAAGAGAGCTGCTTGAAAGTACATCGGGAGTAGATCGATGACCTATACCGACTGACCCACTGCTGCTGATGGCTTTTAGGCTGGTAGATGGGTGAAGATCAGAGCAGGTATAGATGGGGGAACGAATGCTCAGGCGTTCGCCACCATCAGCACATTGTTGAGCGCTTGCACACCCACACATCCACACCCACACACAAACAAGCAAACAAACACACACACACACACACACACCCCCACACACACACACACACACACACACACACACACACACACACCCACACACACCACACACACACACACACACACACACACACACATATATATATATATATATATATATATATATATATATATATATATATATATATATATATATATGTATATATATATGTATGTATATATATATATATATATATATATATATATATATATATGAATAAAAATAACTGCTGAATCAGCATTGACGAGCTTTTTGACGCATCGTTCTAGGTTTCGGGCCTTTGACTTCGCCTCATCGCTTAGATTAAAAATGGTTCGCACAAAATTACTCATATATTCATCGCTCCTTACATTCAAACGTCTCGAGATCCTGTTTCATCGTCGGAGAAGACTAAGTGGCATCAGAAAGAAGTCTTTAGCTTTAAAGGATGCACGTTGTGTATTACCACTACTGCTTTCGTGCTGGAAAAGGACTACAAGGTTACCGTGGACAAGGATCTAAAGAACAGCTTACTGGGAAAGAGCACGAAAAAGCGTGGAAATGATAGGAGCAAGATATTCACACAATAACTCAGAACGGCGGCAAAGGAACTTCGAGAAAAAGACATCATCATTCGGCGAACGGACAAATCACCAATCTACGTAATATTTGACAAAAAGCGATATCATGAAAAACTAAACTACATCTTGAACGACGACAAGAAGTTCCGGCGCACCACAAAAGCTCCAACAGACAAACCCAAGACCAAGCTTAACAAACTTATCACTGCTGCCAGCGCCGCTGTTGAATGCATACACTTTTCCAAGACAACGGATGAATTTGCGCCTGGTTATGCTTATGGATGTGTAAAACCTCACAAAAACGGCAACCCCCTTCGTCCAATAATTTCACAGAGCCCATCACCAACCCATAGAATTACAAAACGTCTTAATGGTCTTCTGTCCCCATATCTTCCCATGTCTTACAGCTTGTCGTCAACGGATGAGTTTATTGATACAGTACAATCTCGTCAACCTAAGGGTCTACTAGCCTCTCTAGATGCTGAAAATCTATTTGCAAACGTGCCCATTGAAAGAACCATATCCATCATCCTTGACCGCGTCTAAAATCATCCCGAAATTCCTCCTCTCAACACATGAAGGCGCCTTCTTGAACCATTACTAGAAGCCTGTACGTTCGAAGCTTCTTTCCGCTGGCCTGATGGCCGGATGTATTGCCAAATTGAGGGTGCTACGATGGGCTCAACTATAAGACCTCTATTCGCTAATTTCTTTATGCGGCACGTAGACGCCGACATTCTACAAAATGATGACATAAGACCGGACATTTTCTGCCGCTACGTAGAAGATATATTTGTGGAAGTTAGGGACATTGACCAACTAGAACGTTTCAAAAACGTCTTTGAAGAGTAGTCTGGCTTAAAATTCACAACAGAGCTAAGTGTGCAGAACGTAATACCCTCTCTTGACGTGACTGCTGATGGACAAAAACAACAATTCAAAACGACTGTATACCGGAAACAGACTAACAACGGACGGTGCTTAAATGCTGACAGTGATTGTCCCCAACGCTACAAAATTAGCGTTACAAGGTCCTTCATTAGACGAGCATTCAAGCACTGCTCTGATTGGACAGGACTACATTCAGAATTGATAAGAATCAGACAGATCTTGGTGAACAACGGCTTTCCAAATTATGACGTTGAAAACGAGGTACAACGATATATGACAAAACACTTTGACGGCAAACCAAGACGAGACATCCAACCAACGTCAAACTGTATTATCGAAATCAAATGACATCTGCCCACAAACAAGACGAAAAGGCTTTACGGGAAATTATCTCCCGACATGTTAAAGGCAAAAATGACCACAAAATAGACATTGTCATTTACTGTTGTAATAAGAAAATATCGAACTTTCTTATGGGAAATTGTCCAGACAAACCCGACAAACTAAAATGCGCCAATGAAGTGTATCCATTCAAATGCAACATCGAAAGCTGCAAACTTCGTTCCATACACTATGTTGGTGTGACCACAACGACGCTCTCACGACGCCTGGCAATGCTCTAACGTGGTGGGGCAAGTTTGGACCACATGCGACACGAACATGACATGACATTTTTTTTGTTTCGTTTGTGTGTGGGGTTGGGTGTCGGTCTGTATATTTTTGGAAACTGTGTGTGACCATGGACGTGTTGCCCTAGATGCTTCGTGAGGTGTTGTTTGAACTGTTACGAAGCGGGAACGATAGTTTGAAGTTTTCAAGACTGTGTGTCCAAAGTGTTGAAGCCGCGAATTCATCCAAAAAATGGCGGATCTTGGACCGAGTAACTCATTTATGAGCGTTCAGGGCGATTGCGCCACCCAGTCAGCGTTCCACGAGCTGGGCCTCAAGTATGGCTTCGCGTCGGACATCTCTGACGCGGCGCTGCCGCAGAAGCTGGAGGAGCTGTGCGAGTACATCAAGCGCGAGATCCGTAAGGAGCTCAAGATTAAGGAGGGCGCCGAGAAGCTGTGCACGGCCACCAGCGACAAGAAGAGCCTGCAGAACGTCTCCAGCATCGTCAAGAAGGCCAACAACAAGCTGCAGGAGCTGCGGGCGGAGCTGCACGAGCTGGACTCGCAGATTCTGCTGACGCAGGGCCGGGCCGGCCACGAGGGCTCGGCGCCGCAGCCCTGCGTGCCAGAGGCGCCCACGTCGCCGCTGGGGGACAGCCAGCTGGAGGAGCAGCCGCTGACCACCACCGACGAGCGCCTGCGCAGCCTCGGCCGCCAGCTCAACATCGAGATGAAGGTGAAGCAGGGTGCCGAGAACCTCATCAGCATGTACTCGGCCGGCGGCCAGCAGAGCAAGAAGCTGCTGGCCGGCGCCCACCAGATGCTGGAGGATGCTAAGGCCAAGATCGACTACATCAAGATGCGCATCAACAAGCTGAGCCAGAACGTGGCGCAGAGCTCCAGCGGCGAGAACCGCTCCATGGTGGACCGGGCGTTCGAGTCGAGCCAGCTGATGCCGTCCCGCACGTCATCGATAAACTCCTCCAGGCGGAGGAACTTGACGGCCCACAGCGACCGCCAGTCGCGCCAGTAGATGTCCACCTCGAGCTCGCGCGACTTGTCCAGGTCGATGGAGAAGCGCTGGTTCCACGCCTGCTGGGAGCACGCCTTCCAACTGGTCTGGCCCACCGTCACGTTATCCAGCTTCAGCACGGCCATGATCTCGTTAGAGGCGAGCTCGGCGGAGCGCGGCAGACACGGGTTGTTGAGCACCTGCCGCACCAGGCCCGGGTTGCTCGTCTCGTCCTTGACGCTGTAGGACTTGTAGGACGAGCGGCCGGTGACGCCCTTCATGAAGAAGCGCAGGTCGGACGGACTAGATATGCTGTGTGCAGAGTCGCGCCGGGACCGGCCCGGCACCTCCTCCAGCAGGCCCTGGCAGCCGAGCAACCGCACTTCCAGCTTGCCGGTGATGGCGGCCGTCTTCACCACGCTGATGCTGGGCCGGTAGCCGGAGGCGGCGACGCTCTCCTTGACCTCGCTGGAGCGGCGGAAGTTCTCCAGACTGGCCGAGTTGGACGACGGCGACTGCACCTACTCCAGGTCCTCCTTCAGCTCCGACGCCTTGATAGAGCCGGGCGGCAGCTCCTTCCGTCTCCGGTCCAGCGAGAGGCGCAGCAGGTCTAGCTTGCGGCTGGACTCCTGCAGACTCTGCTGCGCCTCCTGGAGGGCCTTCTTGTCTGTGACCTTGCCGCTCTGGAGCAGGCGGATGGCATTCTTGGCGCCGTCCATGACGGCCGTCTCGATGCGCAGGTGGTGGCGCAGCTCCTCGATACGCACATCCAACGGCGTCATTAACATTAACACGACAACAACCGACAGACAGCACTGACATTTTACGGACGTGCAATGACAGAAGGCACCCCCAAATTTGGGAAAGCATACTCATTAACGGGCTCTCTCCGGCTCTAAACAGACAGACAAATTCTTGCACAACTCTTGAACTATTAGGTGGTGGGCGGTGAGTGCTACTGATGTGATTGTGGCGATAATGTTCTCATTTTGTCTTTGTAGTGTTCCCATTATGAGTGTTTCTTATATGTATCAAAGTGAAAATAGGATTCTTTCACTTCAATTAGTCATACTTCATTTATGTTCTCCGTACAAAAAGATGTTTTTCAACCGTAGTCCACAATTTTTTTATCCTTTAAAACTCAAAACTTATTTCTTGTGCCATTTAGTCTTCTGCGACGATGAGATAGGATCTCGAAACGTTAGAATGTAGGGAGCGAGGAATATATAAGTTTTTTTGTGCGAACATCTTTAATCTAAGCGATGATGCCAAGCCAAAGGTACGGGAACTGAAACGATGCGTCAAAAAGATGGTCAATGCTGGGTCAGCAGTTATTTTTAATCAAACATGTATAAAAGAAAGGATTCCGCCAAAATATTCCGAAATACGTATAAATATATACATATATGTGTATATATAGATATATACATATATATATATATATATATATATATATATATATATATATATATATATATAGCGGTGGCAGATATAGAGTTGTGCCGCTTCCGTTTTCTTCATCTTCTCTTCCTCTCTACGCACCTGATGATGGCGAATGCTGGAAATTCGTGCCTCAACTAGGCTCCTGCTGATCTTCACTCATCTACCAGTCTACAAGTCTTAACCCTCGCTCTGATGTTCCATTTTCATAGCGCGAACTGTTGGGGAAGGGCGGGGGGGGGGGTCGTTGCGACCACCTAGCGTTTCCACACTTAGCAAAGCGTAGCAAAGACCACCAGTGGATCTCGACACATGATCTCGCAATTGGTGCCAGTTCTGCTGTTGTTAGGTTAATAGCTGACCCCATTATGCTTGGTCAGAGGTAATTCTTTAAAAGAAAATCGCACATTAGCCGTCAGCTTTGCACTAGACACCTGAGACCATGCCTCGTTGCGACGCAAAACCTTGAACGGTTTCGTTAAATTCCGAGACCACAAAGAGGCGTGCTTCTTGTTTAATTCTGCGTACAGTGGTGTCTAATGTGTTTTGAGCATATATTCATCATATATGTCTCCATTAAAGGGAGTGTTCCACTGTTCGGGCACGTTTCAAAAACTTAATCTAGTGAAACCTCAGTACTGGTTGTGTGTAATAATTGCACTGGGTAGTGCCACTTCAGCACAGTGAAGACGTAGAGGGATTTCAATTTCATCATTTTCGTGACCAAATTATGCTGTCAACGTCTTGTAACAGCACTTAACCTTTTCCTGCAGTCGCGACCACCGTCGTCATGACAACGACTGTGCACATATCTACTAGTACGAATAAAAGAATGTTTGTGGTTGGCTAACGGACAGAGCCTGGTTACCGAGGGGCTCATTGGTTGAATTTTGAACCAGTGCGTTACATGGATCATGTGACACTCCGTTTCCCAAAGTTAAAGTGCGCCTCGAAAAGAGCTACCGTGGCAGACGCCGCAAGCGCCATGGGGGAGAAATCCAAGCAATAGTATAAGGTTCCACGGAATCGCGGAAAAATGCCTGCGTGTCCAGATGCATGTCTTCATGTCCGCATACTTGTTTGTCTAAGCTGAGTGTTTCAAGCTTTCCGATGATTTGTTACACAAGCATTTTGGCACATTAGTGTGCTGCAAACATTACAGAACACATACGTTGGAAAAAGGCAACTTAAGTCTATTGACTTCTTATTGGTGAGCAGGGAGTCAAAGGAGGTTTCACCCGCGGAGTCGGCTACTTCAAATCGAAGCTCTGAGCTAATCAGAAGAATTTCGAGAAAACTGGTATTGCTGATTACACCGTGGATGCGTGAAGTAAGGATAAATGAAAAAAACAAAATTTGATAGAAAACTAAAAAGGAAACCAATTTCGTGAAAAGCACGATTGGGCAGCTTTCCAGTGAGGTGTTCTCAAAAAAGACCGGGGCGGGGCACAATGACCACTCCCTTTCAGGCTGATGGTCCCACAAGTGCAAGGAAGCACACTGTTCTACATGAATGTGATGATATAAGCGCCTCAAATGTACATAGTGACAAACGTTACATGTTGTCACATGTGTGATGACGGAGACACATAGATGCAGTTTGGCCAAATATTTCGGATGAGAGAGCAGAGAAAAACTGTTAGCCTACCCTAAAATACACAAGAAATATTTCTCCACGGCTAAGATTCACTTGTTCTCAAAGTTGGGGTGAATATGGGGCCCCGTACTGAATAGGAAACTACGCCCCTTGGGAAAGGTTGTTTTAACAGCCAAATCATGGCTTCACGAACTTTAAGGGTGGGGTGGGGGTGGGGAGTGGGGAGCGTGACCCCTTTCGCCTCCCCCCCCCCCCCTGGATCCATCCTTACTGTTGCCTTCCGCACGGTCTGCTCCACAAGCGAAGTCTCCCGTCACCTTATGCGCGGAAGCTGGATCGCTTGGGACTGTCTATGAAAGTCAGCGCAGTGATCAGCAACACATCAACAAACGGCGAAAGGCACTAATTTATCCCATTCATGCTACGCTGTCAGAGAGGATCTCGAGAGAGAATCCAGAGCGAAATGACTATTGAATTTATGACAGCGACATCTACCAAGGGAAAAGCCAACTTAAAGTGAAAGGGATAACCACCATGTGAAAGCCTTATCGCCTTGAGTTGCGAAGGCGCGATACAGATACGATAGATACGATCCTTTCCTCGCACACCTCGCATTGTTTCGCACCAAATAACTCTGCTTGGATTTCCGTTTGAAAATTCGGTCAGAGCTCTGATTTTGAGGTGAGCAAAATGAAGAGAGAGTTAAATGCTCCAGCACTCGTGAATTCTTCGGGAGCCCTACATTCCTAAAACGACCATTCTGGTAGAAGCCAAGTCAGGATATAAATGTCTAGTGCCTACCAGCCTCCCCCAACATTTTCAGAATCCGATTCCGATAGGATTTCCCCGGATAATGAATCATTGGACCTGTTACTGGAAGCTAGTTTATGCCGGCAATTCACTTCACTTTCCAGAATAAATATGCGAGCTGTCAGAATAAGAGCATTAACTAAAATGCGTGTGTCATTTGCTCGACCTCAAAACTTCTGCCTTAAAGATGCGTTCTAGGTTCCACTCTTGTGATCGAAACGTCTAAACATTGAACTTATATTACTCCACACTTCAAAACTACAAAACTGGGTCGTTTAGCGGATTTCTGGTGAACTTCATTTGAGTAAATCGCGTGTAGCTCTGAATAGTGCCCGGGTAGTATGAACAAAAAAACGGCTAACAGCGGGGATGGCTAGAAAATTTCTCTCTCTCACTTCATGCGCAGTTGCCGGAGAGATGGATCTTTGGCGGGCGGCTCTTCCAACTGCTCCCCAACTCGGTGCTCTCGGAATTTATCCAACGGATTGGCTTTGCAATAGTTCACAAATTAGTGATTATGGGTTTAAGCCGTTAATCTGCGACCTCGGAAACAAAAGTTTTTGCAAGAGTGGAAGATGAGGAAGTTCAAATGTTCAGGAAGTGGAAAATAATGCCAAATTACCGTATGGATGCTGTCTACTGTATTTAGTCCTAATGCATACATCACGGTCGTATCGACACGAAAGTGATAAAAAGTCATGATGCTCTGACGTATGTTTCTAGTACTTAATGCTCAAAAAAAGGAGAAAAGCACGGTCTCTCAAAGCCTTTGAAACATTATCCGGTGGCACGATCACATGTTGCACCGTGCCACCAGTCATGCTACTGGCCAGGCACTGGCAGACCAATGCTCAGCCGGGTCTTGCCGCCCTGGAGCGAAGATAGCAGGTACTGATGGCGGGCGTGCAACAACATGGCCTGAAGACCGGCCATGAAGTTCGATCCCAACAAAAGTCGTGCCATTTTCTGGCTACCATC